GGTTCGGCTCCGCAGTGCCTTTTACCGAAACGGCCCTGAAAGTCTGACAGGAGTTCGGAGGGGCCGATAAAAACTCCCCGTGCCCGAGGAAAATAGTGACTCATTCCGAGTAAAACACGCAGCGCCGAGCTGTGAGGGGACGCAGTGTCCGCGCTCCGGGACTGCGGTGCGCAGGAGGACCGTAACGACGCGCCGTATTCTTCAGGACGATCCGCTGCTGGAGTGCGCTGGGCGGGCGCTGGCAGCCCGAGTCTCGCTGCCGGGTGAAGGTGTTAATGGGGTTTAAAGGACGCGGTCCGCTCTCGGCATCGCTCGGTGCATAAGTAGGATGACAAAGAGATGCAGAATTTAGATTCGCAGAAAGAACTTCCTTCTGGCGAACAAAGAAAATCTGAAAGTCTTTTGTGGTGTTAAAAACTGTATTAGAAAGACAAGTCAACCGAGGAAATGTGTTATGGGGATGATTGTGTCCTTCACAGGTCTACTGTGGATACTCCCGATTTCTAATTTATTATTGCATCCAGGTTTTAAATCTAAAGTATTGGTCATTTAGTAAGTTTAGTGAGATTTATGGTTACTGAGTTTGTGGATTTACTCATAAGTAAGGATTGCATTTTGAGGCCCCAGATGCTTCCACTCTCTGCAGTTTTACTGACTTCATTGATTTTATGTAGCAAGCTAAAAACATTTTCTTCACTAATATTAGGCAAACGTTGTTAATAATAGTAGGTTTTATTACAACAAAGGTCTTAACATACTTTTTCAGATTTTTGTGCTGTAGTTTTTCTACTATTGTGCTATAAGAGATTGATACACCGTTTGTCATGAAACTAGTGGCCTAAAAAGGGCTCGTCTTTTATTGTACATGGAGGAGAACAAAAGTAGTTTCTGTTCTGAGGAAGTAGTTCCAGAATTAAGCCATCTTTCACCACTTTTGTTATTTGAAATTTGGTTTGGGTTTATCCTGTGTTGCTTTTTTTTTTTTTTTTTTTTCCTTATCATAGTTTTCTATCATTTCTGTTACTCACTAGTGTTATATAGGTACTTGCCAATAGCCTTACTGGCAAGATTAACTGTGAAGAAGAAATAAGAGGAGATCTGAGAACAACACCTAATTTCTGGAAACAAGCTTCTGTTCTCACAGTTGCCACCATCATTGTTCTGCCAATGCTTATGTCAATATATATCCATATTTAGAAGTCTTAAGACAAGGATTGTAGGACTGCTGGTTTCTGTGGGCAGAATCTGGAACTGCAGGTGCCAGTGCAGTGCAGAACCAGGGCATGTGAGCTCAGGTGCAGGGTATGTGTAGTCATATTGCTTAAGGAACAAAGCCCATGTTTCCCAAAGCTTTGACAGATGGATACATTCTCTTCTGGATTGAAAATGGCAGCGCATCAAAAAAGGCAGATCTTCTGAGCTATGCCAAACCTGTCCAGTGTAGCTAGGCAGCAGCCTCGTGAACGAACCTTGTGTGTATCCTCGCTGGTTCCTCAGCTCCTCGGGGCTGTTGGCTTCTGCCAGGCTCTTGAAATTGGGTTCTGAAGATGGATGGCCAAAGTACGCAGGCTGCTACTTTAGAGGCTTTTCGCGACTCGCTAAGGATTCCTTTTGGGAATCACTGGAATATGCCAATTCATTTCACTGGCACTGCGCTGCAGTGAGAAAAGACCTAAACTGGTAAATCAGCAGTCTTGGGGGATCCCTGTGCCAGGTTCCATCGTGTGGTACAGACCTGCTCAAAATCTGTTTTTTAGAGGAAAGGATCACTTACTTGTGCTACCTACAAATGTGTTTGAAAGTAAAGTTGGGAGCCTGATTCTGCCAGAAACATACCTATTATGCAAGTGGTTTTCAAGGTAAACCTAAGCAGATACCTGTTTGTTCCTCAGCTGAAGGGTCTCGACATCCCTTGCTGCTTTGGGTCAGTGTTTGATGCAGCCCTTGTTTATGAATTGGCATGAGGCTCTTGGTGCAGCTGCCTGCCCCGCTCTGCTTACTGGCACTATTATTGTGAAGCAGCAGGACGCTGGAATAAGAATCCTGTCCCATTGTTATTTGTATTACAGTAGTGACTGGAAGCCCCATTGTGCTGAACGCTGTGTGACTGTTCCTCTCCCAGCAAGGTACAACAAATGCGAAGGAATCAGGATGGGGGTGTACATTTTGCAAGTATGGCTATAGACAGGGTCTTAGGTGTTAAATTGTTGGTGAGTTACCCCAGCTGACCGTTTGCTGTCCTTCTACGTGTGTTTTTAGAAGATTCTGTTAAAAGTCCCCGTTTCTCTTTAAGATCCTTATGACTTCCTGTCTGCACAATAAACACATGCAGCCAGATTAAAGAACATTATTGGAAGATCTAAGGGGGAGATAAGAGGGTGTTAGCTGTAGGGAATAATTTTTGATATTAGAAAACAGACAAAATGGCATTAGATTCTATGAGAAGGGCTGACAATAACTGCATAAACGGAAGGTGAAAAATGATAGAGATGTTGTCAATTAAAATTACGTTTTAAACTTTTTTTTGTAATTTCTGCATATTGAATGGAGGGGGTTTTTAGCTTGGCATTGCAACCTAGCTGTGAGCAACCTTTTGAATTTTATTTTCAGTGCTGACATTCCCAAATGCTGCAGCATTAGAGGCATTTGCTGGAGGTGCAGAAAGTGGCCATGAGGGTCCTAAAATTTCAGAATTTCTATAGGTTTGCCTTGTTTTGAACAAATCTTTTGCATTTAAAATAATGTAAAGCAGGTGTTAAAGAAGGAGTTTAGATATGCCTTATATGTGCATAGTAAAATATTAGGCTATTGTGTGGTTTATTACTTTTCCAACTAAACTTGATATAAAAAAGTAGCATCCTTTTTCTTCACAATTAACTGAACAATAGCTTGCGTATCAGAGTCAGTTCAGTTTGTATAGGAGTGGTTGTTACCAGGTAACACGAGGCGAAAGGAGTCATTGGCCCATTTTAGCTTGGGCTTTGTATTTTACCAATATAAAAGTACAGAACTGCCTTTCAGCTGATGCTGATGACTTCCTAGATGCAGGAACCTGCTCCTTTGTTTAGCAGAGATGCTGGGAGGCAGCTGTGTAGACATAATTGTTTCAAGAGACTTGTGGACCTGCTTGTTGGTGCTAGTAAGTGAAGAAACATCGTCCAGCAATGCTGTAAGACAGACCAGCTGTTGTCTAAAGTATTGATGGGATTCTTTATGTCCTTTGCTGGAAAAATATTGCAAATGAACTTGCTGATTTCTTTTCGGAGGATGCCTTGGGAAAAGTTGAGAAAGTGTTGGAAGATAGAAAACAATTTTATCCCACCTCATACTATTTTATCAGCGTGGTGCTGTTCCATGTGCTTTCTAGGAAAGTTACTTTGTAAAATTCTTCAAAGTACAGGGCAATAATTAAGAAAAGAAATTAAAAGCATTATTTCTTGGCGAGTAACCGGTCCTCACTTGATTATAATTCAAATCTTAAGTTAAATTAATTGTGAAGCTTGTTGAAAAGACTGTAGGAAAACCTAAATTTTTATATTTATGGAAATCAATAATAGCCTTCCATGTATTCAAAATTTTTTTTAACTACTGGTTTTATATTGCTGAACTTTTTAATGATCCTTTGTCTCTTTCTCTAGTGGTATGTCTGCAACACAGAACAGTTGTCTGAATCCCTTCAGCCTATTTTTGTCCAGAGTTACCTTGACCAAGGAACACAGATCTTCTTAAACAACAGCATTGAGAAATCAGGCTGGCTGTTTATCCAGCTCTATCACTCCTTTGTGTCCTCAATTTTTAGCCTCTTTATGTCTAGAACATCCATCAATGGGTAAGTGAAAAGTCAGTCTTAGGTAAACTAAATACAGTTTGGATTTAGTGTCCAGCCCTACCCCTTGATCTGTCAGCTTTTCTTAAATTTGTAGTTTTTCCTTTGCTAGTCTAACAGATCTGAAATGCCCTACTGTGCTATTCACACCCAGCCATCTTAATTGAAGAACACTGTATGGGGGGACAGAGGTGGTAATTGCAATTAATAAGAGATAGTCGGAGGACTCTAATTGTATTTTATAACCATTACTTATATTAATTTCATCCTGAATAAGAGAGCATTCTCTCTGCGTTGGACAAAGTCTCCTTCTTCCCTCCGCTTTCTTTCCCCTGGCCCCTTCTCGTCTACTTTACCTACTGCTGTATCACCGTTGTGACTGTCCGTGTTGGAAGGTGGCTGTATCCACTCAGTTCTGCATTGTGTCTGAAGTTCTGTCTGGTAGAGAGTGTGTGTGCATACCCGCTGCAAACCTAGGCAGATTTCTGAACAGTGCAGAAGTTGGCCGAGTGTTGTGTCTGGTAACACTAAGGTGGAACGGAATTTGGTCCTTTCTCTTATTCTGTAAAGCTTAATTTCACTTCAGTTTGTCTGTAAGCTGTACTTGAACTTGTAACTTCTGACCTAGCGTGTTTGACTGATGAAACATCAGGAAGGCAGGAAAAAAGAGTTCATAAAACAATATTTTCCTACTCTTACTGCATCATCTCTCTACTGCAGGGGAGTTTAGCTGTTCGTGAGTGCTCTAGTATTTTTTCTGAAAAAGTCAGTGCCTTTTTTTGCTCACGTAACCCCATTCAGACATATGTTTAACAGGTTATTGGTTTTCACCTTATGAAGAATGCATTTTGTTACATTTACCTGATTTCTTCACCTTCCCCACTTCTGCACCTAGTACATACTTCTGCACAGTCTGATATCAGGCTAGCAGCTGTCTACTAAGACTAGAAAAATAATCTTTTTCCTTATTTTCTAACCAGTTGACTTTATGAGCTTCCCTGTGGTGTTCTTAGTTACTTGTAGCTTTATATAAAGATTCCTTTGGTCTCCCCTTCTTCCTTTCTCTTCCATTTTTTTTCAAAGGCTCTCCAGTGCTTTGAATAACACCTCATAGTGCTTTTAGGAATAATAGCTATGAGCCAATTATATGGTGTGGACTGACAAAAGTGTGCTGCAAGGGGGCTCTACTTAAATTGGCTGTATTCTGTTTATTTTTATACATTTAATATCCTGCTTTAGTTTATTCTCTATGATTTTTTGTATACTCTGTCCTGTTTGTTTGTTTTTTAGTACAGTCATTCTTTGCTAGGCTGCCTCTTTTTTCACGTTGTTTTTATTCTTTGATTCTTTTTATCTGTTTGCCTTTTTTTCCCCTTGAATGTAAAAGATTTCTGTTCATTGTCTTTAAGTTTAACCAGCTATCCAACATTAGTTTAAAGAATAGTATTTATCTACCTTCAGTCTATTACTGACCAGTTCTTTTTCCTCTGCTTGTTCTCCTAACTCTTTCATCTTCTGAATTGTGCTATGACAGCTGAAATCTGTCACTATGTAGTCTTCAAACAGTTATGGGCGGGTATGTCATTGACTTGATCCATAAGGAATCCAACTGTCACTTCTACCCAATTCCTTAATGAGTTGCCTATTTTCTGTTCCACAGTTCTTCATGTTGCATGCAAGATCTGCAGATAGCAGCAAAAGCCATTGTAACATACAATTAAAAAAATCTCTTTTGCCACTCCAGCAGTGTCACTCCCATCCTTTCTTTAAATCTGTTCCCTGACTTCCCTTGTAGTTACACATCCTGTTCCTCATTCAATGTGCATACTTCTGTGTCTGCAGCCATTTTATTTCCTCCGCTATTTCATCTTTTTTTCTAAAGTAGGTGGCAGAAATTCGAATCTGCAAATGTGACAAATAAGGTTCAGGCTTTATCCTTCCCTCTCTTTCTCTCCCCGCTCCTTTTTTTTTTTTTTAATGTGATCGTTTTCTTGAGCTGCATCCCATGAGCTCTTCCTTACCTAATCAAATTCCTCCTGAAGTCTTACCCACTGTAACTACATGTGGCTATGTGTTTGATCTCTGACAAGTGCAAGGCAAATTGAACTGGATTTAAAATTTATCTGAGCTGTGACCTTGTCTACTGTTATGTGTGACTAGTTGCTGCCAAAGCGCATTCTAAATTACTTCATTGTCCTTCCTGTTAAAGTTTGTACTAAATTGGTAATTTCTCATTTTTACATTTCAGGCTGCTGGGAAGGGGCTCAATGTTTGTGTTTTCCCCAGAACAATTTCAAAGACTGCTTAAAATAAATCCAGAATGGAAATCCCACAGACTTCTCGATTTAGGGGCTGGGGATGGAGAAGTCACTAAAGTCATGAGTCCTCACTTTGAAGAAATCTATGCCACTGAATTGTCTGAAACTATGATATGGCAGCTTCAGAAGAAGAAATACAGGTATTGTACTGAATACTTCCTACATCATTTCTATCCGACATTACAGCAAAGTAATCTATTTATAATACTTAATGAATATTCAGTCTTTTCAGTCAATTCCTGTATTGTTTGATCATTCTGGAAAAGGTTGACCTGTCCAAAAGCAGGAAAACAAACATATCTAATGTTCCCTGTTAGTAGGTCGAGGGAGGTCATCCTCCCCCTCTACTCTGCCCTGGTGAGACCGCATCTGGAGTACTGTGTCCAGTTCTGGGCTCCCCAGTTCAAGAAAGACAGAGATCTGCTGGAGAGGGTCCAGGAAAAGGCTACGAAGATGATTAGGGGGTTAGAACATCTCTCATATGAGGAGAGGCTAAGGGACTTGGGTCTCTTTAGTTTAGAGAAAAGAAGACTGAGGGGGGATCATATTAATGCGTACAAATACTTAAAGGGAGGGTGCAAGGTGGATGGGAACAGTCTTTTTTCAGTGGTGCCCAGTGATAGGACAAGAGGTAATGGGCACAAGCTTGAACATAGGAAGTTCCATCTTAATATGAGGAGGAACTTCTTTACTTTGGGGGTAGTGGAGCACTGGAACAGGCTGCCCAGAGAAGTTGTGGCGTCTCCCACTCTGGAGACATTCAGAACCTGCCTAGACGCCATCCTGTGCAACCTGTCGTAGGTGACCCTGTTCTGGCGGGGGGGTTGGACTAGATGATCTCCAGAGGTCCCTTCCAACCCTGACCATTCTGTGATTCTGTGTGATTCTGTTACCAGTGCTTTTGTTATGCAGATGTTCCCTGCTATCATTTAAGACAAAATAGACAACAACCATTTTGAAGTCTCTTCCTTCATAGCTTGGGTAAATTGCTTTAATCAAGGGAGTCAGGAAGATGAAATTCAGATGAATAGTTTAACTGAGTGGTCCAAAATTGCAAGAGGAAGACACAGGTACTGCAGAGAAAGCAAACTGAGTTCTGGTAATAGTGTTACCTCGATAATCTGTCTCTGTCTAATCTCACAGTATAGATGACTGTGTAAAGGTTCTTTTTCTATGCTTAGCTCCTGCTGTTAAGATTGAATAATATTTAGTAAGAAAAACCTCAGCACTTTCAGAACTTTGTTCATGCACTTGTCACAGCTTCAGGAGGTTCTTGTAGGCAGCAGATCCAGTCTGGTTCAGTAATGGTTAGTATTGCAGGCACTGTATCCCTAGACTGCAACCCAAAGAATGAAGGAACTGTGGATTTCTTTTCTTCACCTGTCTTTGAGTGGAAACATAACAGCTACTTTGCAGTCTGGGTTTGCACACTGGTAAACCAGAGTGGATAAAAGGCAGGAAGCCATTAATCATATTTCAGCTTTGATATTCCTTGAGAAGTATCTTCAGTTTTATTCTAGGACAACACATTTTTTTAGTACCTGAGGTTTTTGGTTTTGTCTCCTCTATTGCCTGATGATCATAAGGCAATATAAGGGTTTGTATGGCTGGACATATAGCCATGCCCATTGTTGATTTAGTTTTCTTTTCCAAAAGACCAGAAGGAGTGTGGCTGTCTCTTCTCATTGCCGAGGTGGCTGATCTTACCTGCACTATCAACACATCCATAGGGAATTTTTTTCTTCAGTCATTCTCTCTGAACTCAGCTTGTGTTTGTTTAACAGACTGTACCTCTTTCTCTTTACCTTTGTAGGTGCTTGGTATAAATGAATGGCAAAACATAGGATTTCAGTATGATGTTATCAGCTGTTTGAATTTGCTGGATCGCTGTGATCAACCACTGACTGTATTAAAAGATATTAGAAGTGTACTGGAGCCAACTAGAGGCAGAGTCATTCTAGCGTTAGTTCTGCCATTTCACCCGTATGTGGAAAATGGTAAGTACACAGATTAGTTGCTATTCAGGCAGGTAAAGAAAACGTTTGTTGGTTATAGTATCCCAGATTAAATGTTTAATAAATAATTGACATGCTTGTATTTGATTTTTACAAATAACTTGTACAGTGTGTGTTCAGAAGTATGAAATCATAGGTAAATAGGCCACATGATGTAAGCTGTTTTCTTAATTCCTCAACATATGTAGTTGGCACCAACAAAAAGCTCAAATATTGAAGTCACATATCCTGTTCTGCAGGTAGCCATGTTTGAGCTGTGTTAGAGCAACATGGGAAAACTTATCTCTGATTAGGGCCCTCTGCTGCTGTTGTATAGGTAACCCCAGTTGTCTCTAGCGACCATTGAGCAAAACCATCAGAACTGTCTGTAACGCTGAATAGAGCAGTGCAGGTCAAACTGTTTCAAGTGTTCCAGATGAACTGCACCTAAAAATTCATAGGGAGATAACATTCACTTTCCAACATGAGCTCTCGAAGTAAAATACAGACCCCTACTAATAAGACATAGCAACCACTATTTATATTGTATTAGTAACTGGAGTAAAAAAGTAAAATTCAGTGCCAAAACTCCATTATTTTCCCTAGTTGCATTTTTAAAGAAATACATGAGAGATTTTCAAATTAATCTGTCCTTATGACTAAACTTCAAAAGAGACTAGAAACTTTTTTTTTACATGCCTATGACTGTGGATTCAGGTTGGGGCAGCCTAAAAGTGGTTTGACCTCCAGAAGGATGGTGTTCATCAGTTATTGTTTGAACACTGGCTCTCCTTGAGTATTAAGACTTGTCTGTGGAAAGGTGTGTATGCCCAGAAAATACAGAACTAATAACTTTATCATTCTGGCAATCACAAATGCATCAAACTGGATCTGTTTTCCTCTTCTTATAGGCCAGTGTTTTTTTGGTGGGAGGAGGGGGGTAAAAAAAGTTTTATGTATAAAAAATAATGTCATCAGATGAAGAATTGCCTAAAATACAGTATTTGAGCATATAATCTTGTAACTATTCTGAAAAGTAACGTGTCTTAAATGAGACAGGGATTGACAGGCATCTGTACAGTATTTTAAGCATATTTGGTTACAACTTACTGTTCCTATAATGTGGAACAATCTGGCTTCCTCTTTTAAAAACTCCTTAAAATTCCAAATAACAGCAGTGTCTTTCTAGTCCTTCACTGGCGTACTAGAAGCAGAAATTGAGAAATTATTTGGGTGGCTTTTTTGTTTGTGTGCCATTGTGTTTTGCAATTGCTATTGCGCCCAGCATCTATTTTTCTGCGTGTTGTTGGGTAACCACGTGACAGACCCCATGCAACTTCCTGGCTCAACAGGAGGTAGATAAATTAAGGAAGAAACTACTCTTGAGTCCACTTAATCCTCCATCGTTAATCTCCTACAGTGTACTGGGAGGAGAAGAGAGTGTTAAATTTATAAATCCCAAGGGACTGGAAACTTGTTCTGTGGTTGCCGAACTTGGTCATTCCTACTTGTTGAAAGTTGAAATCTGTTGTAAGATGTCTTGTAAACCAAAGTCATACTGTTGTTTGTGGTGGTGACTTGTAGCAGATTAGTCACTTTGCTTAAGGCAGTTTTGTTTCCTTAATATGTTCTGAAATTTAAGAACATACTCAGTTTGTCTCTTTACCACTACCATGGATGTGGGCCCATATAAATTGCTTTAGACAGTGCAAGTTAGCACACGCAAAAGTTACTGTCGTTCCACTGAAGCTTTCCCACTTAAGATCTATTTAACTGTAGTCTACAGAAATAGACAGTGAACTTCCAGACTGTCTTCATGATGTACAGATGATTTTAGAATTGCTTTATTTTCATTCAGCTGTTCTACAAGACGATGCATTTTTAAAAGTGCTAGACATGTACATATGCTTTATATTTAACAAAAAAAAAATATACTTGGAACATTCAAGAGGAGAACCTTTCATGGCTCAAGTAACTTCTTGTAGCAGCTAATTAAAAACAGTTTGGACCTGCCTGGAGAAACTTTTGAATTTTAGAGGGGGGAACAAATGGAGAAGAGATGAGGCAGGTAAGGTGTTCAATCAGTGTATGAATCAGTTGCTAGAAATGGAGAAATTATTTTAATCAAAATGAGATATTTGGGTTATTACACGTAATGTAATGGGAGAGTAATTGTGGAAACTGTCTATGTGACTAACATAAAACTTGCTTTAAGAGAACAAAGCAAGGTGGAGGAAGAGGTAGAATATATTTCTGTGCTTACCATTTCTGGAATTACAGTGACACCTAGAGTCCAAAGTTGCTTAATCACAAATTCTTTCT